AGTTATTGAGGAGCCCTAGTCAAATGAGAAGAAACCTTACATGGTAATGGAGCTTAGGATTGGCAAGGAGACGTAACAGAGTAAATCATCAAAACTTATGATCTCGTATGAGGAAGAAAATGACAAGGAAGAAGCACAATCAAAATCGACTGTTGACCGTATCAACTTCAACTATCATTTCATTTGCCTCTACGTCATGATAAATCGACGGAGAAATTTGGGAAGAAACTCATGGATATGTAAAGAAAATCAAATTCAAACATCCCATTTCGACTCAATCTCTATTTTCTAAAGGAAATCCTCTTCAAGAAGAGGAAGATTGACGAGTATGCTTCAAGAAGATCGTGTTGCCATTGTTCAGAATGAGATGCCTTGAAAGATGAATGATCATAGAAGTTTTACTATCTCATGCTATTTCGAAAACTTTTCTTTTCTTTTTTACATAGAAATTTTGACATCTTCTATGTCGTAATATTTTAGCTGATTTAGGAGCCAGTATTAGTGGTATACCTTATAAGCTCTGTAAGAAGCTAGGCTTAGAAAATCTTGATCCACTTGTATGCACTTATAACTTGTTGGCAGAACTATGGTTACTCCTAGGCGCATTATTGAGGATGTGATAGTTGTAAGAGAGTGGTCGCGATAACTCAAGATATTGGGAGAATGTTAGTGTTGGATCTTATACCATTCTCTCATATGCGTCCCCAAACGAAGGCAAACTCACGGACTTGAAGTTTTCACATTACCACCATACCATGTGCTTAAATCAACTGTCAATATTGGACTTCGTGGTGGTTCAAACCAGTGTTATTAAAGCCGGACCGATCCGGTCGGTCGGACCGGTAAAACCGGCACTTGGATGTCATTCCAGTTCGGACCACCTCCAAAACCGCAACGGTCAGAAAGACCGGTTGGTGAGCGGTTGCAACGGCTAATCGTTCGGGCCGATCGAACCGACCGACCAGTTTTTGACTTCTGACCGAAATTAAAAAAAACTCGATGGATGTCGACTTTTTTCTCCGCCAATATTGTCATCACTCATCCAGATTACTCCCCGCCTACCTCATCGTCACCGTTTCCAGAAAGAAAAAGAGGAGAGATCATATCTGGTGAAGGATTAGAAGAACGGTGTCGTGGATGGTCGAGGGAGTGGGCATATCAATCATGCAGCAAGTGGATGTTGGTGCGTTGAGGAGGACGGCAAGGTTAAATGTAGTCAAAATCGCGCTTAAAAACTTAAAAACTTACGATTTTACGTTTCTAGATCACTAAAATGCTTCTACACAAAATCTCAGTTTTTATAACTTATGTAGTTAAAAACTCAGCTTTAAAACTTAAAAACTTGCGATTTTACGCTTCTAGATCACCAAAACGTTTCTACGTAGAAACTCGCTTTGACTACATTGGTGGGGTTGAACTATTAAAGTGAGTGATGGCGGTGTGGGGAGGTAGATCAGCGAAGAAGATAGTGAAGGAGTTTTTTTTTTGTTGTTGTCAAAAGATATCATGTGTTAATCAAAAAATAGGCAGTTACACCCTGGAAACCAGCCAGGTCTGGAAATCAAAGAAGCGACTCATAGTTGGATACAAAGAGAGGGCTTTCCTAGCTACCAAATGAGCTACTCTATTGTTCTCCCGACCTACAAAACGCACACTAAATCCAGGCTGAGTACGAAAATAGTGACCAATCTCTTCTAGAACAGCACCCAACCGGCTATCTCTTGTGTCGGCTTGATTAATTTTGTCAATAATCACCTTCCCATCGCCCTCAAAACGGCCTCCGACAAACCTTGCTCCACACACCAAATAATAGCTTCCCTGAGCACAAGCAATTCCACCACCCCGGGATCATCCATTTGAGAAAACTCGACCCCTTTAGCCAGAAGAATAGTCTTCGCTGGGTCAAAAAGAAAAATCCCACCAGCAGAATGTGACCCACCCTTAGTAGCCCCGTCCGACATGCAAACCAAATGGGAATCACCTACTTGTGCAGTAGATTGCATTGTCGGGATTTGTACCCTCGGCGCCTGGTCCGTTGGTAGCCCGACCCACTCCTCATACTGTTGGTTAAACTGCCGAATGAGCGCTGGGATCCCAAATTGTTTGCCTTCAAATACTACCCAATTCCGAGATCGCCAGATCCTCCAAAGGATGGCAACAACCGCCATAATCACTGACGGTTGATGGATCAATGCCAACAGACGTTTGAGAAACTAAGGAAAAGTATGCCGAGGCAAACCCTCCCCCAAGTATTCCATCCCAGAATAATCCCAGAGAGCTCCCACAACCGGACAATAAAGGAACAGGTGTTCCATTGTCTCCGGGCCATCCCAACAAACTGAACACCAAGGTAGCACCTGGACCTTTTTCTCAATAAGCGCCTCCGTAGTTGGCAGAGCCCGATTAAGAATTTGCCAGACAAAAACCTTCAACTTCGGAGGGATCTTCGCCTCCCAAATTCTAATCCAGCTCGGCTTATCCATCCAGCTAACCGAGGACCGCCACCCACCCCTCCTCCTGTCCAAATCGACAGCCAAATGATAAGTCGATTTAACCAAGAAGACTCCGTCGGCCGAAAAATGTCAGATAAGCTTATCAGGCACATCCCAACGCGGAAGAGGAATAGCTTTAATAGCCTTACAGGTGGACGGGTCAAACCATTGACTGAGCTTATCATCAGACCACCTCCCTCCCCCCTCACAAATAACCTCCGCCACCAAGGGATCACCCTCCTCAGGCAAGATCCGCGGATTATAGCATGGGGGATCTAGTTGGTACCTAGGAATCCAGTTAGAAAGAAGGAGGGAGGCCGATTGGCCATTACCAACCTGCCATCTCAAACCCCTCTCCAAAAACTGACGCCCATGAAGGATACTTAGCCACCCCCAAGAGGGACGAGACCTAGTAGTCGCGGTCAGGAAAGACCCTTGAGGGAAATACTTGCCTTTATAGACCTGGGCAATAAGTGATTGAGGTTCATTTAGAATACGCCATCCTATCTTAGCTAAAAGAGCTTGGTTGAAATGCTCAAACTGGCGTAACATGTGCAGGAGATAGTGAAGGAGTAAGAGAGGTGAAAGGGGAGGAATGGGAAGGAAATCAAAGGGAGAGAGTGGATGAAGCGGCGCACAAGGGTGGGGTGGGGATTAGGGTTTTTTTTACTTGTTAAATATATATTGTCAAATTATCAAGTGGTACCCGCAAAGTAAATTTTAGTTTAGTCATTGAATTATTAAGTTACTGCCTTAAGTGTCTTGTACTTATTATATTATATCATTGTATATAACCTATCGGTTCTCCTAGCTGGCACAGACGGTGGTCGTTCAAGCCAAGACTTGAACGGGCCAGGATCCGGCTTAGGTCTGCTTCCCACACCAACAAACCAAGAAATTTTGGCCATCCGCGGGAAGGCCAAGCAGCCAGGATATGAGTTCTCGGGCCTTGAGGGTGAATTTGGAGCACCGGGCCCAATCGGTGATGTGGATGATGACGAGCTAAGCCTGGCGGATCAAGGGGAAGTATGGACCGATCGAGCCCGATATGAGGAGGATGCGGTTAGGTCTTCTACCCGAGTAGGGTAGGGTGGACATAACTAGGCCAAACCATAACGATTAGAACAAGTCTGGTCGAATCAAATCACATCAACCGATGGCAAACAACAACAAAGGTCATCGAAGGTGCGAGTGGCTATCTCCAGGTGATTGAGCCCGAGTTTCCGCCCTCTAGACACTGCTGTCTGGCTAAGGCCGCTCTAGTGCGACAGAGAGGTCGAGCAGGGATCCAGACGAGTATTGGGTGAAATTGGAGAATACTGAGAAGGTGACAATGACTGGCATATGCCTGCCCAACGGAGGCAGTTGGACAAGGAAATATTAGGGGATCGCAAGTATGGTGGATATAACCCACTTATGATGGAGATGATTATTCGGTATTTAGGGCCAAACCTCCTATCAGTTTCCTAAATTTGATTTCCAAGCGGATGATGGATTGTGGTTATACACAACTGACAGGTGTTTCAAAAACCATCCAACTAGAGAGGAACGGAAGGTGCACCTAGTGTCTTTCTACTGGGATGGTGATGCCTTCCAGTGGTGGAAGCGGTTGCAATGGTCCTATGCTGAAGCGGAGACATTAATAGCTTGACCAAGATTTCAAGAGGAGGTACAATTCCAGTATGGGCTGTGAGAGGGTTGGGCTCTCGAGCAGCTGGCAAAACTCAGGCAGACGGGGTCAGTGGCAGACTACAAGGCTGAATTCCTTAACCGAGAAACATGTGTAAGGGAATACTATAGTAGCCTTGGTGGTTTTATGTTTGGCAGGACTGCGACCCTAGATAGTGCTTGTGATGAAAGTCTTCGAGCCCAACTCCCACGAAAGCAACCAAGCCATGACCACTTCGTGAGGCTTCCCCGGCTGAGATGGAGCACAAGAGGTGGGAAGGTTGATGCTTCAACTGTAGTGATCACTTGAATGTCGGACACAAGTTTTTGAAACTGGACCTGATGATGCTGGTGGGACGTTGGAAGGATGAAGCAAAGGACCAGGCAACACAGGACGGGAAGACGGATCCAGGTGCGCAGGTGCAACCTTGATGGCAAGGTTTCTCTAAATGGGGAGGAAATGCTAGAAACCGAGTCTTCTCGGGTTTCTAGAATTATACTATTAGATGTTTATTTAACCATTGGTTAATTTGTCGTTTTGGATTGTTTTAGTACTTTTGTGGATATTTTGGGAGTTGTTGGATTATTTCGTACTTGGGGAGAAGTTTGGGTAGTGATGGGGAAATTGTCGGATTATAAACGGGATGGGATTAGGTGCTAACCCTTATAGGGGTTAGCATCGTGATAACTAGCAAAAAACGCTACTAAAAATAATCTAAAAATAACGAAATCACTACGGATTATTATAAAATCAATACAACATCTAAGCTAAATCACTACTAATTCAAACTAGTTGTAGTTTTTCCCTTGGTTAGGACGGTGCTAACATTGAAAGTGGGATTAACCCATTAGGTTTTATGAGAACAATTACGTTCTATAATCATCTCTCTCTCCCTGGTCGACTTCCTTCTCTTCATTTCTCTCTGGGTGCGATCGTCGGGCCCGCCCTCTTCCAACCTTCTTCCTCAAAATCTGCTCCTAAATACTCTTCTCTAATCCCTAGAAAGGTAAATTCGTAATTGATCTCCTATTCCCAATTCTTTACACGACCGGGAGCACCCTAGATCAGAGGGTCTCTAACGTAAGGGGGAAGCAAAGCAGATCTAGGTCACCACAAGACAAAATATGCTACTGTGTCTGGTTCCGTCCTGCTATATATTTTGTGTAATTGTTCAATCACTCTCGGAACCTTAAAACTCTATCACCATTTGCACAGATTCATAGTAGATTCAGGTTAATCAACATATTTACATTATGAATTAATCTACATATACAATTACGTGCTTTATTTTCTTATGTACCCATTGCTCATGATCCCTTCATTTTGTGCTAGTTCAAGCAACATGATAGCCAAGTTTCTCTTACATTCAAGGGCTTGAACCGAAGGTGTTCTGCGAGGATTTGGTGGGGGTCTGGATGTCACTTTTCCGGGAGCTGCTTCATGTAGTTGCCATGCCACCACTGCAAGAGGGACTACTTGAACAGAGTGCTATTTTTCCCGATTGGATGTATTGGTGTGTTTGTCGAATGAGTCTGACTTAGTAGTTGCAACTTTCGAGTTTGAATCTATTTTCTTCGTTCATAGCCAGTTTACCATGTTTTATTCCTGTATTTCCGCAAGATGAGGATCAAGTGTGTATAGATGCGGACGAACGTACAAATCCTGAAAGTTGGATGGATCAACAAATTTTGCAGCTACTTACACCTATTGTGAATTGTGATGTTGCTCATCTCGCCGTTTTATTCTAGTAGACGGGTTTCCAAAACAACACGTCAAACACTTATATCACCACATGCCGCTGCGAAGCACAGCTTTCAATCTCTAGTAGCTCTATAAAAATGTGTCAATATGCTACTTCTTACTTGGCATATGTAACCATTCTCTACTCTGCCAAAAGATTTGACTCAATTGCTGGAGAATCATGAAGAAGGGAGTGAAGATCTTCGGCATATTGTCCAAGATGTCTTGAATTCAAACTGGAACTTCCCTTTTGCGGCTTTTCACCAGTCTCGTTGTGTTTAATCTTCTTCCCTGCTGCTTCCTCTGCCAGTACATCTTCATGCAGTTCTTGAAATTTCTTTCTCTTTTCCTCTGTTTGAACCAACTTTTCCTTTAAACTGTCCGGCAAGGAAGAAAATGCACTGGTAACGCCTCTAACAGTGCCCCAGTTGTATCCTGCAATCACTGACTGCTTAAACCCATTATTGAATCCTTCTTGCGCGATAGCTTCTTTCCCAGCAATCAGGCCATCACGATATCCGATCTGGAATTGTTCCAAACAAGATTCATATAACTTGTCCAAGAAACATAAGTATAGAGGGTGGAAAACACAATTAAAACTACAATCAAGCCTGAAAATTTTACTGCATTAAACTCGGAGCGTCTCTTCTGCCACACCCTATCCAAATCGGAAGTTTTATCCGACCAATCATCATCATCCTCGAAGTCACCTTCACATAAGCTCGAATCCTGTAAAAGTTCATGCCCTTCAAAGCCATGAAAAGAACAGCTACCATTAACATACTGACTGATCTCAGAATCAAACTGGTCATAAGCAAAAGGGAAATATAACATATTTCTTGCTTTTTAAAAACATGGCTATTCACTATTGCATTATGAATATACAAGCCGTACAGGCTCCAGAAGTAAGAAAAGGTTAGACATCTCTGGCCCCTTCCGATGGCATTTGTTGTTTAATGCTATAGGAAAGCCACAGCTTTGAAAAATCTGTGACGGCAGTGAAAACAATATAGAACCAGCATCTAGCCCCGTGCACTAGAAATCCCTCCCATGTTCTACAATTGTCAGTGAACATCAAATCTATCAAGGAGCTGTATAACTCCTTCCATGCTGTACTATGTGCACAAATCCAGATCGAGCAAGTAGGCTGTAGCCGACTTCGGTCATGATGGTTCAATCATTCATTCATTAGATTGAAAAACCTCGCACCTTCACAACACGCACGCACCTCCAGAAACAAAGGATGTTCATGTATCTCAAAACGATCAACTAGCTCAAAACCCCTAGAGAAGTAAGATTCAGTTCTTTACGTTGCACTAATAACAAGTCATTCTGTCAAAACGTACCTCATCAACTTCACAACTACTTTCCCAGTAACCTCAAATCAGGAACTCCACTACAAACTTTACATACTAAACATTCATCACGACTAGCACAGTGAAGCTTAATTACCCCGAAGATGGAGGTCAGTAGAGTGCTTACGGTGGGCTGTGACGGGATCATTCAATTTGGCGGTAGAAAGCTCCAAGCTTTCAGAGTAAAGCTCCTTGGCGAAACTTGTATCCATCCCGGCTGTATGCTGAACCTCCAATCGAGTCGCCTCCAGGTGAACGCAGCCGCCAAAACCAACCGAACTATTTCCTGCTTCGGTGCTATCTGCTGTCTCCCACAAAGTAGCTCCCTCTTCCGTTGGGGCAAGGATAACCGGCAATCAGCAGCGAAATTAAATCCCCAGTCTTAGGGTTGGAGATGAGAAGGAATGGAAAGCTTGTGAAAATCGAACCAGGCCGGCAATCTGATGGACGGCGGAGGAGGAGCCGACGACGATCGATTTCCACAGCGGAAAAGGCTGAAGAAGAATCGACTGTGACGATCTCCGGAGTATTTATAGCTACAAACTAATCCGGAAGTTTAAAGGATAAGGAAATACGTAAGAAAAACATGGAAATATCAAATAACCAGTGTTATTAAGCCGGTCGGTCCGACCGATAAAATGGGCATCGGCACAGTTAAAAAAGCGTAACGGTTAGAATGGACGGTCGGTAAGCGGCCGAAGCGATTAACCGCTTGACCCACTTGATCTGTTTTCAACTCCTGACCGTCCTCTGTGAAGAAGAAAAAAAATTGAAAAATAAAAATTGCTAACGGCAGAACCCAGCCGACGGGGAATGGAGAATGGGACTCTGAGAGAGAAAGAAGCGAGTCTGAAAGTTCACACGCTTCGATGGAGAGACTTCACTCCCGGCGCCATCCACTGTCGGCGCCATCTCTGTCCAAACTTGAACTGAAGAAGAAAAGAAAGAAGAAGGAAGAAAAGAAGGGGCGACCATGGTGAGATCCAGGGTACCGTATACCTTGAGTATGAAAACGTTATTCAGACCATGAATTGACTGATTTTACGGACATAATACTATACTCAAACCCTTAAAAATCAAAATCTAGGTCTCAGTTCTCTAAATCTTATACTCCAAGATCAATTTAATTAGAATAATAATCGACGGTTATGATTCGTCCAAATAAAGGCAAAAAATGAATGCACCATCTTAGAGTTTATAGTTTATGATTTAGATAATTAGGAACTAGGGTTCACTCATTAAGGGTTAGTGTATAGTATCAAGTCCAAAAATTCTGCTAATTCGAGGTCTACATAGCATTTTCATACTCAAGGTATGCGGTACATGGATTTCACCCGGGGTACCGCAGAAGACACCATATTATATATATATATAGGTGACCACTTCGGTGCACTAAAAAATAAGGGTGTTCAAATGGTTACCGTGGTAATAACCAAACGAATTAAGCCTAAATTTCATTAACCATGGAATGGAATGTCTAAACCAAACCATCCAAATTAACACGAAAACCAAATTAACTAAAACAAAGTTTAATTGGTTTGGTTAATTGGATAATCGGATTAACCAAATAACATAACATTACATGAAAATAATTATCCTGTTAATGAATAAAACATAACCATACGCTATTACTATCATAAACTATCATTATATATAAGCAATAATAATAAGAGTAATCATCCATGATTATCATCATCATTCATCATCTCTGCACCTAATATAGTTAGCTTACAACAGACCCCTTAACATAAATACATACCAATACCCCTCATCAGGAAGTTAAATTGTTTAACCAAACCAAACCAATAATCCATATTAACCAAACCAAATTAACCAACCAATCCGTTTGAACACCCCTACTCACAAAAATGAGTGCGTTCAATGCACCCAACTCAAAAACTAGTCTTAAGGTGTCGGATTTTGAATTTTAATTTGTAGAATTAGTGTAATATGATGATATAACATATGATAACAACTAATTAGTGGATTACCCTAAGCCCTAGACCTCCAATTTTGAATTCTATCCCTAAACCCCAAATTGTAAACCCTAACCCTAACCCTAAATCTCTAAACTCTAAATCTTTCAAATTGAAGTAAATCTTTAACGATTGACATCATTTTGACATCATAAGCGACAATTGATACCGTGTGGACATGAATCGCATGCTCAGAAAGATGATTATGAATGCACCCAAAAAAGTGGGTACACCGAATACGCCACTATATATATATATGTAAAATTACTAAGTGGTACTTGTAAAGTAAATTTCATTTTAGTCACCGAATTATTTAATTACTATCTTATGTGTCTTCTACTTTTGATATTATTTTTTATAAGGTATCGGTTCTCTAACGAATTTTTAACGATCTAATACCGATTGGACCAATAAAGTGCGACCCATTTACATTACTGGGTCATACTTCGGTTCGGTTCGGTTCTGACAACGTTCTAAATAACAAATTAACCAACCTGGCTGCTGGAAGCGGAGGGAGCGGTGCAACTATGGGCCTAAATAGTGGGCTAGTGAAGCTTGGTGTGACGATGGATTCGATAGATTAAATATGGCTTTTTCCTCGGCCCAAATACCTTTCACTTTCCCCACTCCCACGCAGGCAGGCAGTTTGTTCACGAAAAGAAGAGAGGCAAAAAGCAAAGTGGATAGTCTAGTCTAGTGGGGCAGCAAGAAAAGCCATGACTCACAATAATAGATAAGCCAATTGACAAGCACGAGATTGTCTGCCATGATAACGATCAATGCAAAGGAAGGAGAGGAGGAAAGAAATCAATGGTCCCAAGCATACACTCCTGTATTAAGTAATACCAAAATTTTCCAGATTGTAAACTGTCCAATCATTACTGCAGAAATTTACGCCTAAACGAAACTGGTAGAGAGATCTCGATCCGATACCCAAGTTACTATAAAAATGGATCTTCCGTTCTATCTTATCTTGGGAGATAGACTAGGAAGAAGTGGTTGTAGCTTTAACAAAAAGAAAGTATGCAAGCATGATGTTGATAATATATACAGAGATGTGAGTGGGACTATAGAACATGGGTGCGTTGATGGCGGATTTGATTATCAAACCAAAAGGTTCAACTTTTTCATCCTTTCTCTTGCTTGGATTGCCCCTTTATAATATCTCCATCCAAATTGTACCTTTCTTTATCTTATAAACCCACTTCCTGTCTCCTTTTCTCTCTGCACCAACTTACCACAAGTCCTAGCAGGCAAAACTGATCATCACCATCAACCGAGCTTGTGGTTTTTTGCAGGTTCCAGGGCAAATGGATGATAGCCAGAGTAGGGTTCATGATCTGAAAGTGGATGTCCCAATGGATCATAATCATCAACAACCATCAGCTGATCATCATACAAGTTCTTCATCCACAAAGCTTCAAGCTTCACCAATTGGCTGCAGGCAGCCAAGTAGCAGCAGCAGTTGTAGTACCAAGAACTCAGCAGCTTGTTTGTGCTCACCAACTTCGCATGCTGGCTCGTTCCGCTGCAGGCTTCACCGATCCCCATCTTCCATTCAAAGAACCAAAAGCATGGATTCTTCTTCTTCTTCAAACCAACACAGTTGAACATCATCAAAGGTCACAATAAAGAAAGCTTGTTGCTTTTTGGAGAGTCTGATGACAAGGGTTCTTAAATTTCTTCCCTGTTTGTGCTCTTGATCAAGGGTTTTGGTCTATTATGTGAATCTTTTACTTTTATCCCTTTGTTTATCCAGATTTATGAGGAGTCCTGCCAGTGTATTGGTCAGGACCAGTGTAACTAGATTTGAATTGGAGTGTCCCACATGCTAGGAATGTATATATCTGTTCCGAGTGAATGAATTATGAACAATGAGAATAGTCCAATCTTTTTGTAACATAGTAGATAAGAGAGATCCACTGTCGAAGCCCTTATCCTGAATTTGCAGTTGCAGCAAGTTGATCTGAAAATTTTCTGACTTCCTTTGAATTTTGTAACAATTGAACCGAAATTAGACTGACAAGGGGTATCTCAGCTACCCATTTGACCCCACTTTCAGCACATGGTCCCTAAAAGGCTTGAATTTCATATAAACTGCTTCAACTTCTGTTTCCAGTTTGATGAACATTGTGAAAATCCATCCGGCAGAAGAACTATTTGAAAGGCCTCTTTTCTGTTCTGATGGAAAATAACAGAACCAGAAGATGAAACCATTGATTCAATTCCATAAAACCTACAAACCTTGAGGGCAAGCTTAAAGTGTGGAAAAAACATGTTATGGAAGCTAATGGCTAAACACGAAGCTTTCTTACTTTTGTAAGAAAGAACATCGAAGTCATATTCTATTAATCATGGTGGAGTGGGACAGAAGAAGATGAGATGGCAAATATTGGCATTTGGCACGGCATGCTGCTGCTGCTGCTGAATAGGGGAAATGCTAATGATGTAATGTAATGATGACTCAAAATGATGACTCAGAGGCAGGGGCCAAACAAATTATGCCCATTACCCAACCTCCTCATCATGTAAACCAGGAATCCCTACGTCTGTCCTATGTTGGTAAAAACAAAGTTGATCATTCTCTCTTTCTTCCTTTCTTTATGTATTAGAATCAGTACCCGCGGCTACGAAGAGTATTAGCGGGACGTATTGCGGAGAGCAAAATGATTATGTTTGTGTGTACACCTGATGGGAAGATACAATTATGAACATATGCATTTGAAAGCTATGGTAAAGTGCAAGTGTATTTGCATAGAAATACTCCTCCGCATTACAACAAGCGCATCTGAATGCAAGCAGGTAGTCCTAACTGCTAGCGTGTCAAAATACCATTCACCATTTTACAATATAATTGTTCTCCAGAAATACTGCTTCTAGTAAGTCTCTGGATACAAAGTTTCGTCCAATTTCCCCTGCCAATATCTCATATTCTGATGGAGTTCAATGTGAATGCCTACCGAGATTTTTCAGGTAAGCAAATGAGTTGGACACAAAGTTGTCAACTGGGTGAGACCAAATGCCACCTCTTCATTAAAAGCCATGAAGTAAAATTAAAAGTAAGCTGATCAATTAACATAAAGTATATACATAAATTGTTGTATCCTATCTACTACAAAAATACGGTAAGACATTGCATCAATGGTAGGGAAAAAGACTTACTGTAAGGAGCCCAAGTGTAGAGGAACTTAAGAAAATGAGCTACTTACAACTTCGACATTCACCAGCAGGGTCGGCATTGGATCCGCATTTACTTCTACTCAGTTCCCGGCTCTGTGCAGAACTTGACAGCGGCATCCATCACCGTCTTTACTTCTACCATTTTTGTCCTAAATGTCAGTTTGCACTTGAGGCTCCTCAATCCCAGCCTTTGCAAGCTTAATTGCATCATAAGTGGCATTTCACATCCAACACGCATTCAACAAAGGGAAAACAAAACCAGAGAGGAAAATATGTTGATGCTGAGAAAACCTATTATCAGATCAAGGATAAAAATGATTAAATAACTAACAAGTAAAACTGCTATTAAGTATAAATATTGTTATTGTTACATTCTGCCTCCATAAAAGAACCACGGATGAACAAAGCACAGAAATAACAATTCCACTTTCCAGACAATGCAGAGGAATTGTGGCATCACAACAGTCAAATTGTAATGGACACAGGGCTGGGAGAACTGAAAACAAATCATCAAATCACCTCTGAATACTCATCAGATCCTTACCTTTTTTACTGTTCTTCAATGACTTTTGTTTCTGACAAAATCCGAGAGCCGAGTTCAGTGTAGGAAATTACACGGCTGCTACAGAAAAGGAAGACCTTCATAGCCTTCTCACCACATTCCCCATTACCATATTCCAAAAGCACGAAGTTGAAGCACCAGACATCTTCATCAGCAAGGGCAGAATAAAGAGGTACCCAGTTAGAAAGCAAGCAGGCAAAAGCAAAACAAAGTGGTAGAAATGATATCCTAAATCAAAGATACTGAGAAAATAAAGCTTACCGATTCGTTGTCCCAAGTCCCCAGTACAAAGTTTTTGGAGAGACTGGAATTTGCAACCTGCTATATTCTCTCTTGCTTCTTCCTCGACGTTCCTTTTCCTGGCTCCATGGGTATTTCAGGCCAGCTCGATTCCAAGGGAATCCAATATTGCCTGCTGTTTTCACCATTTTGCACCTAATCAACAACATTGAGAAAGAAAATGAGAAGCATATCATTAAAGAAAACAACTTAAACTTCTAAATACAACTCAAGAATTGGATTTGATAATCCTACATCGCTACGTAGCCTCATATAACAGATGAAAACTGTATAGGAGGACAAAGTAGATAGTATATTACAATAATGAAGCACTGAACTGAACAACTCATAGGTCATAATAGAGTTGATCTGCCATTTGGAGCTCAATTTACCTTGATATAACTATCACAATGGTTGACTAACAATCTTAAGGAGCTGAAGCTCTCTCTCTGTCATGCTCTTTGGTGTGTAACTAAGCCTATTGTTTCACCACGGTGTAGAGTTGAAATGGATTAAAAATAAAAACAAAATAGGATAAGTAAGGTCTTAATATGACTTTTATGTTTCCTAGAAGTTTCCCAGTCAGGGAATTTTTCCAGAAATAACACTGTTAAAAAAAATTCAAAAAATAGCATCCTACTCCGAAAAATTCCAAATATAGCACCCTTTCCCAAAAACCGCCACCCGTACCAGCGGTTTCAGGCGACTCAGGCGAATTTCTCGTTCGTCCCTTCCGTCGGATTGCTCGATCCTAGTCATCCTTATTTTCTGAATCCTGGAGATAATCCAGCGTCGGCTCTCGTCACCGTCGTCTTCAACAGCAACAACTACTACGCATGAGCGAGGTCTATGCGTCTCGCACTTCTGGCGAAGAACAAGTTGTCGTTGATCGACCCCGCCGTTGCTCCACCGTCTCCTGCTTATCCTCTTCGCGGTGCTTGGGAGAGGTATAATGTGATGGTTCTTGGCTGGATCTACCGTTCGTTGGCTCCAGACATCGCTCACAGCGTTCTCTGGTTTGATTCAGCAGTTGATGTGTGGAAAGATCTTCATGATTCGGTTTAGCGAGGCAAGCTTGATTCGGATCTCCGATCTCCAGGATGAGGTCTTTGCTTTCAAGCAAGGTACAGCCACAGTCAGCGAGTATTTCACTTGATTTCGCGTTCTCTGGGATGAGTTGGTGACTATTAGGTCGTTTCCTACCTGCTCGTGTAATCCAAGGTGTTCTTGCGGTGCTCTCACCGTCGTTCGTGATTACCAGCAGTCTGATCAGATCATCCGCTTTCTGAAAGGCCTCAATGACACTTACTCTCAGATCTGGAGCCAGATCTCTCTCATGGATCCTCTTCCTCCAATCACTCGTGTTTTTTCCATGGTGATTCAACATGAGCGACAACTGAATCCTTCTGGTGCTCATTCTGCGTCAACTCCGCTTGCTATGGCTAGTCGATCTTCTGGACCGAGTCAGGGTCAAGGTCGTGGTGCTAGAACAAAACAACGACCTGTTTGTACTCACTATGGCGGCATTGGTCACACTGTGGATCGGTGCTTCAAGAAGCACGGATATCCACCAGGTTACAAGGGAAAAAGCAAGGTTAATGCAGTCGTTGCTGAAGAAGCTGATGAGTCCCTGCCTACTGGTGGATTTGGACAGTCTGGTGGATCAGTAGTCCTCACTTCTAAGCAGTATCAGCAGCTTCTTGCTCAAGCGTCTACTTCTACTCCAGCAGGCTCAGTCTCGTGTCTTATGGCTGCACAGCCAGGACCTTCTGCAAGCAACTCTGTGGCTGCTTCTGTTGCTCCATCCGCTCAGCTGGCAGCTCATGCTGCGGCAGGTAAGTGTGTTCTTGCCCTTGTCACTCCTAAGTCATTAGCTGCATCTAATAGAACTTGGATAATTGACAGTGGTGCCACTGATCATGTGGCATACTCATTAGATTTATTTGTTGAGTTTAGGACCTTGAATGGAATGTTTGTTACCTTACCTGATGGGTCTCGTATAATTGTTACACATAAGGGGTCAGTTAAGCTTTCTAATGATCTGCTTGTTCATGATGTGTTAATGATTCCCTCATTCACTTTCAACTTACTGTCAGCAAGTCAGTTAGCTAGGCAGAATAATTGTGAGTTGATTTTTTCCCATTCTGAATGCTTGATTCAGGATATCCCATCCCGGCAGAGGATTGGTATAGCTAAGCAGATTGCCGGGCTGTACTACCTCCACGTCGACTCTGGAAGTGAATCCTCTTCTCTATCTCTACCTATCGCTTTATCTACTACGTTTGACACAACTATTAGACAGATTGATCGTTGGCATTATCGTCTTGGTCATAGTTCAGTTCCGGGTCTTGGTGATAGTAATAAGTGTTGAAACTTGCATTGTGCTGTTTGTCCTGTTGCTAAACAGAGTCGTTTACCTTTCCAATCTAGTACTTCTTATGCTGCTGGTATGTTTGACTTGGTTCACATTGATATATGGGGGCCATATGGTGTTCCTACCATAGATGGCCATCGTTATTTTCTTACTATACTTGATGATCACTCTAGAAATACTTGGTGTTACTTGATGACTTCCAAGTCATAAGCTAGATCTCTTGTCCAGTCTTTTTGTGTTTATGTACAAACTCAGTTTTCTAAACAAGTTAAAACCATTAGGACTGATAATGGATCCGAGTTTCACCTGCCACCATTTTATAATTCTTTAGGAATTATTCTCCAAACCACCTGTAATGCCACTTCACAGCAAAATGGTTGTGTAGAGCGCAAGCAACAACACATTATTGCTGTAGCTAGAGCTCTTCTGATGCAAGCTTCTCTCCCGGTTAATTTCTGGGGACATGTAGTTTTGCATGCTGTCTATATAATCAACCGTTTGCCCACTCCAATCTTAAGTAATAAATCCCCCTACGAAATTCTTTTCCACAAACAACCCGATTATAGTTTATTACAAGTCTTTGGTAGTCTTTGTTATGCGTCAACATTAGCTCACAATCGTCCTAAGTTTTCACCTAGGACCGAGCCTTGTGTCTTCCTTGGTTTTCCCTTTGCTACAAAAGGTTATAAACTGTACAGTTTAGTTTCTCACAAAATCTTAGAATCTAGGGATGTTTCATTCCATGAAAATATCTTCCCCTTTTCAAACAGTGGTCTGTCCTTGTCTTCCCTAGACCAAGCCCTTCCATTTATTGATGTTCAGCCTATGCAATATTCTATTCCCAATCCCATACCTCCCTTGCTTCCATCTTCTTCTCCACCCTCTACCGATACATCTGCTTGCATTCCGGCCAACACTTCTCTTCCGTCTCCCACAACTTCTATATATGAATACCAACCTAGCATAAACTTACCACTTAGGCGTTCAGATAGGATTCGTGTTCCCCCTAAGAAACTTAGTAATCATATACGGCCCACTACTAATACTAAATATTATCTATCTAGTGTTTTATCATATAACAGGTTGTCTCCCATTTATAGAAGGTTTATTATGGCTGTAACCAACGAAACAGAACCGTCCACCTATACTGAGGCTGCCAAAGATCCAAGGTGGGTTGAGGCTATGGATTTAGAACTCCTAGCATTGGCAAATACCAATACTTGGACTCTAACTCCACTGCCTCCATGTAAGCGTGCTATTAGAAATAAATGGGTATTTCGTATTAAATTCAAACCTGATGGTAGTATAGAAAGGTATAAAGCTAGGTTAGTTGCCAAAGGGTATACTCACAATGTATACCCTTTTCTACGTCTGCACCAGTGGGCGTACGGACGTTATGAGCGTTTGCTGGATTTGGGGGAGATCGTGCCGTCGAGAGGAAGAGGTGGATGAGAAAGTTAGTTTACGAAGGCGCGTTGCAAGGAAACCAATAAACGACAGAAAGTGATACAGTAGTTGCAAAAAGTTGAACCTAGCTTTTATACATAGAAGAATTCTCCATCTCCCCCTACTTTGTAAACAGGTTGTTAAGATGACATGGTCTGCTTAGCACTAGCTCCACTACCAACAACAACAAGACCAAGCAATTGACTGATCTTTGATTAAAAACCCAACAATAATTGGAAGCAGAAAAAAGATCGCTTTACTAAGGAGAAGCCTGAAGGCATCATGTAAATTGTTTTACTAAGTAGGTCAAATTAAGATAACTACTTTAAAAATTAAAAAAATTAAAAAACTTGCAGATAAGGGAACTTCTGCTTTGAATGGTTACAAATAGGGAACTTGGAAGTACATGCATTTTATTTTACAAAGAAGAATCTGGCAAAAAAGTAGATATCTTTATGGATTTCTCAAGCCTATTCTTATTTCACAATCACAGTAAGCACAGGTTTGGAGAGAAACATCAATTATCAGCATTCTGAACTTCTGATGTTGGTTCTGGATAGTTTTTATGGATACTCATTTCGGCAAGCATATAGGCTTCCATGGACAGTTTCTTGCCTTCTAGTATCCGGAGCGGAGGCAGTGGCGTAGCCAGAATTTCATCTAAGGTGGGTTAAATACGGAAAATATATATAACGTATATTTCAGGATATGTTTATGTTTTGAAATTTTTTCTAAAATACAATCGTCGTGCAAATTATGAGGAATGTTAAGATAGCGCAGCGAAGAAATCGTTCATGATTCAACAACTCATCTTACATAGAAGTGTTTTTTACTTTGTTTATTGCAGTAAGTGCTCTTTCAACACTTGATGACAACCTATAGCAACAAACACCCTTAAGTTTTGAGTTTTTGTTTATATTAAACTCACTTACAGAATATATGAATTAAAAGTTATGTATATATCACAAAATATTAGTTTTCATAAAATTATCCACAATCAACAATCGCATAAATATAATTGCTCCACATCTTTTTAGCCAAGGTGGGTCATATCTCCAGTATTTATCTTACGCTAATCTGGTCATCTCCAGTATTTACTTTTTGCTAATCTGGTCATTTCCAGTATCATTTACTTTACAAACTATTTTCAAGTTAATCTCATATTGGCGGTTCCAATATTTAGAAGTAAAGCGTACCAACAACTCCTTATCATTTTGAATCTGCTTAAGGATTCCTCCATATCCTAGGTCAGAGGCATCGGTTTGTAAGGACGGAATGAGACAACCAATATGAGATTAACTTGAAAATAGTTTGTAAAGTAAATGATACTGGAAATCACCAGATTAGCAAAAAGTAAATACCGGAGATGACCAGAATAGCAGAATATAAATACTGGAGATGACTAGTTTTGCATAAAATAAATACTGGAGATGACTAGTTGAACTGGAGATGACCAGTTATGCACGAAATAAATAAAAGTTGAAGATGATTTGAAAAAGATGAAGTAAAACTTGACAGTTTGATAGACTTCTTACACAAGAATTCTTGAGAGAAGATGATGGGAGGAAGCTTTGCAAGAGAGCAATTCCCACTCAAAACAACTCTACTACAACAAGTGAAGGGAGTCTCCTTTTATAGAGAAATGGAGTCCCCTTTTGGTAAATAAATTGAAAAACATAATGATGACATGTGGACACTTATATGATTATGTCACATGTCATAACAAAATTACATTTTTAATATAAAGAAAAATAGATAATTTGTGGTATTCTTTCCATAACCAAATTGAGTGGGTTGGAAGTGGAGTCACTTCTTCTTTGTCTTTAGGATAATGGGTTGGAAGTGGAGTCACTTCTTCTTTGTCTTTACGATAGTGGAAGAAGCAATGGGGTCACTTCTTCTTTGTCTTCAACATAGTGCTCTTTGTTGGCAAATGACCAAGCACTTCTTCATCCAGGTCATGGTTTTGGAACGTGGAATATGCGTCAGATGTTGAGCTAGACGCCACATATTTGAGAATTTGGAAGTATTCTTCTTCAGTCTTGGCACCAGCTAAGAGAGCGCTGATTGAGGATTTTGTTTGCAAAAATTGCGTTAAGGATTTTTCGATAACTTTGGACATTTCAGGATTGTTATTGAACCATTGGAGGACTTGAGGTTTGTAGGCTTGTTCTGGGCGAGGATTTGCAGCCCAATATTTGGTTTTGAAGCTGCGGCCTAACATGGGTACCTTTGTGACGACACAGTTTTGGTAACTGAATTCCCAGGCTGTAATCCAAGGAACTTTGATGTAGTAACAAAATTTGAGGAGGGGTAACCCTGGACCAGAATTTTTTTGACAGAAGGTTTGATATCTCTCTTGTATCTCAGCTGGATAGATATTTTCAGTTGGCCCAAAAAGATCCCACCAGTGCCTAAACCAGTTGGGGAAAATAATGGGAGTTTTGTACTCCTAGAAAAAACTCCAGGAGTTTCGGTACATATGGTTTTGCTTGAAGAAGGCATTAATCCAAGCTTCATGGTAATCCCAGTAATTGAAGGATTGGCAGATTTGCGGGTGGTAAGAGAAATAGTAGCAGGGAATTTTTGGTTGGTGTTTGGGCTAGTAGGCCATTGGCGAGGGTGGATAATTTGGTGGATTTTGCAGGTTGAGTGGGTATTGAGTGTTTTGTCTGAATGATCAAATTTGTGGGAACAGGTGACTGATCTAGTTTTTGTGAGGATAAGTTCATAATATTTGTGGGTTTTGTTGAGGGATCTTGGTTTGAAGAACCACTCATTGAGGAATGTTTGGCAGTAACATTTGGATATTGATGGTAGAAACCATCTTCAGCAACGAAAATGGGTTGAAAAGTGTTTTTCTTAAAATATGTTTGAAATCAATTTTGAGGGGCTTGGACAACCACCACCTCTTTGGTTTTGGGAAAAATGGTTTTGAGAGGGGATATCGAAGATTCCACCTCTGTTGAGGTAGGTGCGACATCAAGATGATGTTGTTGATAGATTTGTTTGGTTTTTTCGGAAGAGATGGGTGTGGGTAGGATGCCACTTGGCGTTAGAGTATTTGAAAGAATTAGTTTAGAAGGGGAAATTGTTGAAGAAGTTGAAGCTTCAGTAGGAAGCTTTTGTTTAGAACCAGAAACGACAATAAATTTTTGAAGGTAATTTTGAGCTTCAAGAGGCAGCTTATCAATATTGATTAAAGCTTTTGATGAACTTGAGTGTGAACCAGAATCATCTGAACTTTCTTCATACTCACTTGAATGATCAGGGCTTCCTTGTTCATCATCAAATATCTCTCTCCATGTTTTGATTTTGATTTTCTCTTTATCTCGCAATCTAGTGGTAGGGGGCATTATGACTGAGGATTGCAAGCCTGAGAGTTTTCCGCACTTCGTCCTCCCTGCAAAAATTCCCGATTAAGGAAGTCTAGAAGAGAGTAAGAAGAACCATTTATAAATTGTATGCCGAAATAAAAAATGCTAAGGATGGCTTGCCATCGTGCAAATATTTGTTTAGAAGCAAGATTTTGAACATCTTTTTCCAAAATGTATTTTGATGATTGGCAATCAATGCGTAGTAAAAAATTTTGATTCAGCAAATCATGCTGAAATTTTGAGATGCATAAAACAATAGCAAGCAGTTCTTTTTTTACAGTGTAGTAATTGATTTGGGTAGGGTTCCAATGTTTAGAAGTAAAGCGTACCAACAACTCCTTATCATTTTGAATTTGCTTAAGGATTCCTCCATATCCTAGGTTAGAGGCATCAGTTCCGACGATTTTAGGGAGAGAAGGATCACTTATGTGAAGGCACAGGAGACTCTGAACCTGCCTCTTAATTTGCTGAACTATTTTGGTATGCTGGTCAGTCCAGCGGGTTAGATCAGGTCCTTAAGGCCTCTTTTTTAAGGAAGATCTTATACCCCTTTCAGCCAATAGCAGAAGGAGAGAGAGTGATAAGTAATGATTGGCAGGTTATTAGTTAGATAATTATTAAGGGTAAACTTGGTATTATGAAGAAAATTAATAGTTACTAAAAACAGGAAAACAAGAAAAAAAACCCTAAACTTTTCAACCTCCCGTCCGCCAAAAGCGATAAGCAGCAGCGGTAGTATGAGGGACTCGTCCAGCCGAAGTCGGCGGCGCCATCTACCATCCTGACGCAGTCCGCTATCTTGGTATCTTCTATCCCGCGGCCGAAGGCGACATCGTCGTCCTCATCGTCAGTCCGTCGCGGACCGGCACCACTCCGTTCGCCATCTCGCCGTGAACGTAGCCGCCGGTCGGAAGTTTGAAGGAGAGAGGAACCAGCATGGGGAACTCGCTAATAAACTCCACCCCACGTATACGCTTCCTATTTCCGGCCGCATTGTTGCTTCCAAAACCCCTAAATTGCATCCCAACCACGTCCCCACCTTCGACGATTCTGTTGACCGGATGTGTTGTGCATATGTAGAAAAATGTTAATAATTTGGGTTAAGAAAATTAATAACAGTTCAAAAAGTTATTGATATATGTTGTTGTACACTAGCGTAATAGCACATGACAATTTTGTTGACAATTGTTTGATAAAAGGTTAATAATTCTATAACCTGTATTTGTTAACATTTTTATGATTGCTGAGGTGCTATTATTGTTAATAATAATAATTGGCATGCACTAGTACGAGAGTGCAAAAAAAGGAACGCTTAAACATTATTAACGACAATGCATAAAAATATTAATGTTTATGTTATGTATTATTAATAGTTTTGTTCACTTTATGAATAGCATAAGTCTACTTTAAATATTTAGTTCCGAGTTTAGAATCAAGAATTTTACTAGCACTATCAATACAATACACTTTTTTCTTAAGCATATATATTGTGGTTATAAGTTAGTAATTATTATTTTTAAGTAAGTTCACAATTTTATTTATGAAATGCTAGCAATATTTGTGCATATCATTACTGATACTTTGCAAGAAACGTTAATAATAATGATTGTATAGTGTTCATTATCCGCATAAATAGTTGATAACGTTATGTTGCATTGTAAACAATTCTTCGAAAAATGTTAATACTTTTATTATTGATAAATTTTAAAGTTATATTATTTACGTTGTATTTCATTAATAATACATCGAATAAACTTTTAACAATACCTCGCATAAAAGTTGATAATGTTTGAGCACATTGTTGACAATTGTCCAAAAATTATTAATAATTTTTATTACTTGTCAATATTAATGATTTTGTATACCTTTTGCATAAACGTTGAAAACATCTGCCACGTTGTATAAACATTGATAATGATAAGTTAAATCGTTAACAATTGGTCTAAAAACCATTAGTATTTCAATGTACGTTTACATCCCACACAAATCCACCATCAACCCATTAACAATTGAAGTTACGAATCGGTACCTAAAACGACAATATTGATAACAAAAATGTTACTAATTTAACAATCAAATGTTAATAGTGATAACAAAAACATTACAAACTGACATATAAAACGTTACTAACTTAACAATAAAATATTATTAAAGGGTAACAAAAACGTTAATAATCGTAATAAAACAAATTGGTAACTAAGAACACGTCCATCTTCCTCAAGGGGTCCAAAACACAGACGACCAAACTCTCTGGACTGCCCTTCAGTGATGATGATGATAAGATTCTTTGATGACCTTGCTTGACGAAGACATCGACCGGAAACCGACATGGCATGATGGCAAGCGGCGGCGAAGGAAGAATCAGAAACGGCAAGCAACAGCGGCCAAAAAACTGACGATCTTTATGGACTCCCCTTTAGCTGCAACGTCGACCTCAGGCGACAACCGGATGGAGAAGGGACGACAGACGGAGACCTCAGGCGACAACCGGATGGAGAAGGGACGACAGACGGAGAACTAGGGACGACGGCCGGAGAACTCGGGACGACGCACGACGGAGAACTCGGGACGGCGAAGGGACTAGGGATGACGGACGGAGAACTAGGGACGACGACCGGAGGAACTTGTGACTTGACGTTTCGCCTGCCTGCTTGCGGGAGGAATAATGAACAGACGAAAATAAAGAGAGACGTGGGCGGGTTAGGGTTTTTGAAAAATAGAGACAGATTGTTTAAATTTAATTGTAGTCTCCTTAATACTCCTAACAGCTATTTAACTAATAACTCCCTATTAACTACCTAAATTTGAGTTAGCCAATCACAAGGCTTTAAGTTCCTCCTTAAAAAGATGCCTTAAAGACCTGAACTTAGGCCTCGATCCAGGGAGGGGGACTCTTTTTCAATCTATCATGGAGAGGTTTACAAAGAATATTGATGTTGAGATAAAAGTCAAGGACATAATTTAAACTACCCAGGAACCGTTGTAATTGATTTTTGTCTAAAATTTGATCTGCAAATTTATCTGCAAATTGAAGAGATCTTTCGATTGGAACAATTGTTCCTTGACTAATGTAGTGACCCAAAAAATGTATCTTAGTTTGAAAAAGACAAAGTTTTGGTTTTGAGACAGCCAAACCGTTACGTCGAGTGACTTCAAGAAATAGATTGAGATGTTTGAAATGTTGGTCAATGGACGAAGAAAAAACCAAGACATCATCAATATAAACTATTATGAAATCAAAATAAGGAGAGTAGATTTGATTCGTAATTCTTTGAAATTCTGAGGGAGCATTTTTCAAACCAAACGGCATGACATTCCATTCATATTGGCCAAAGGGAACGGTAACATCACTTTTATAGCGGTCTGTTTCTTTGATTTGGATTTGCGAAAATCCGAATCTCATGTCAAATTTAGAAAATATTAGAGACTGTGAAAGTTTCTGGAGTAGATCCTTTTGGTTGGGGATAGGATACCTAATCCATTTCAGAGCCTTATTAAACGGTTTGTAGTTTATAACAAGACGAGGAACGCCACGTTCCTTTTCTGCATTATTAATGACATAGAAAGCAGAACAGCTCTAAGGGGATTGGCTAGATCTGATAAGGCCCTTTTTGAGCATTTCCTTAATTTCTTGTCTACAATGTTTTGCCTTGGTGGGAATGGGATTTTCTATGAAATCTTTTTCGTAAGGGAGATCAACCTGATGTTGTTTTTTATGCCAAACAGCATTGGGTATATCTGCACAAATAGAGCTTTCAATGTGCTCTTTTAAAGAGTTGACTCGTTTTTGTCAAAAAGGGTTGAGAAAGTTGTTGTAAGATTCGCTGAAAATGTATATCATCATGCAAATAAGATATTTGATTAGTTTTACAACGAATTATATGGCGTATATATTTTTATAGAAGAACGTCGTAAAACATATAGGTTTTGAACTTTTGGTTTTTGGAGAAACGAGAACTCAACATTGTTGCCTAACATAATAGTGTTAATTCCTTGGTCGGTGACGGTAAAAGGTTTTAGAAGATTTAGAAAAGGTGTCCCTAAGATCACCTTTTGTTGCATCTCACATATTAGGATAAAAGGAGTTTTGAATTCAACATTTTGATGACAAATTATAGCATTCGAAAGTTTATATTGTATTTGAAGAGGTTGAGAGTTAGCGATAGATAGACGCCTGAGGGTCTTTTCATCGTACTTAGTTGGAATTAATCCTTCTTGGATGCAGTTCATGTCTGCTCCTGTATCAAGAAGGGCCACTGTGCTTAAAGTAAAATCAGAAAAAACCTGAATATTAATGATAACATATCATTTTTTGATAGTAATGGTAGATAAATAAACATAGAAAATCTTCATCAGTTAGCATTTCCTCTGTTTCTAAACTGTTGGTTGCGTGAGGAGTTTCATCGAAAAAGTTGTCGGGGCTAGATGTTGATGGCTCTTCTAAAGGTTTGAGAGCTATTAAAGTTTGTAATATCTCATGACTAGAGGAAAGAAAGGTAAACAAAGGCTAGATCTAACTTACAGGTGAGGTAGATTAACGGCCAAAGAATGGTCTTACAACTCTCTCACAAAGGACTCAGCTAGGATCTAACAATGGGGTACCCATTTCTCAACTAATAATAAGCAAGAAGTTTTAGACAAACGTGAAATAGAAAAACGTCTTAAACAACTTTCTGCACAAATATCCATTTCTAAGACTCCTTATATTTCTGACTCAAAATCCACGAGCAACGAGGATCAAATCGTCGATGACTCAACCAAAGTAATTCAAGACCTAGAAGGTCAGATTGAAACAGAAATCAATCGTCTACGATGGAACCAACCCTCTGCACCTATGATTTATTACCCACGTCCCACTGCACCTGATTTAGCTCTCGAAGAGAAACCCACTAATATCCAAAATAAATACAACTCCAATTCTATTTATCAATGGAATCTTGATGGATTTTCAGAATATCAAATTTTGAACCTTCTTCAACAAATGACCATGGTAGCTAATGCTTACAAAACTCAAAACTAAACTTCTGATTACGCTATAGTTGAACTACTTATGGCCGACTTTGCTGGTCAATTAAAGGGTTGGTGGGATAATATCTTAACCGCGGAAGACCAGAGATCTATTTTTACAGCTGTCAAATGTGATTCTTCTGGAACTCCTATTTTAGACTCCAATAATCAATCTTCTCAAGATGCAGTTGCATCTCTGATTTTTGTCATTTCAAAACATTTTATTGGAGATCCTTCACAGCTTAAGGATAAAAATGCCAAACTACTTTCTAATCTTCGTTGTAAAAAGTTTCATGACTTCCGATGGTACAAAGATACCTTCTTAACTAGGGTTATGCAAAGAGAAGATGGAAATCAACTATTTTGGAAAGAGAAGTTTTTGGCCGGTTTACCCCGTCTCTTAGGGAGATAAAATCTGAAACAAAATCAAAGACACTTTTAATGGTCAAATTCCTTATGAGCAACTTACTTACTGAGAACTTATTAGCTTTATACAAAAAGAAGGATTACAAATTTGCCATGATTTAAAACTTCAAAAACAAATCAAACGCAAACAAAAACTAACTCAAAAAGAATTAGGATCTTTTTGTGCTCAGTTTGATGAATCTGATTCACAAATTTCTTCCAAATCTAACTGTGAAGATTGAAACCTCATAAAAAAACATCGCGATTGTCCCTACCGCTCTTTTAAAACCACGATCTAACAATGAAAATCAAAATATTACTTGTTTTCGTTGTGGAAAAACAGGCCATATTTCCAAATATTGTCGTATAAAAAAGAAGCTCAATGAGCTTAATCTTGATGAAGAGATTGATGACAAAATCAATAATCTTTTTCTCCAACACTACTCTTCTCATGAGGATTCTTCTTCTTCTTCTTCTAATGATGATGATGATGATGAGAATCTTCAAGACTTGCAATTTGATGACATCGATGAAAGTTCTGAATCTTCTATCAATGTTTTAACCAAAGATCAAGAGCTTATTTTAGATCTAATCAATAATATTGATAATCCTCATCTCAAATAAAAATATTTCAAAAAGCTTCATGAGCACATGGAGAAACCTCCTGTGACTATTCCACCTACCAATCCCTTTCATCAAGGTTCGACGTATAGTGTCAAAGATATCCTTTCTCGACATAGTAATAACGATTCCCACAATCCTTCTCTTCCTGATTTCTAAAAGGAATTGGATATTGTTAAGAAAGAAATTCAACAATTATGACAGTTACAAAATAGTGATCATGAGATATTACAAACTTTAATAGCTCACAAACCTTTAGAAGAGCCATCAACATCTAGCCCCGACAACTTTTTCGATGAAACTCCTCATGGAACCAACAATTTAGAAACAGAGGAAATGCTAACTGATGAAGATTTTCTATGTTTTTTTATCTACCATTACTACCCAAAAATGGTATGTTATCATTAATATTCAGGTTTCTTCTTATTTTACTTTAAGCACAGTGGTCCTTCTTGATACAGGAACATACATGAACTGCATCCAAGAAGGATTAATTTCAACTAAGTACAATGAAAAGACCCTCGAGCGTCTATCTACCGCTAACTCTCAACCTCTTCAAATACAATATAAACTTTCTAATGCTATAATTTGTCATCAAAATGTTGAATTCAAAACTCCTTTTATCCTAGTACGTGACATGCAACAAAAGGTGATCTTAGGGACACCTTTTCTAAACCTTCTAAAACCTTTTGCCGTCACCGAACAAGGAATTAACACTGTTGTGTTAGGCAACAATGTTGAATTCTCGTTTCTCCAAAAACCAAAAGTTCGAAACCTAAATGTTTTACGACGTTCTTCTATAAAATATATACACCATATAATTAGTTGTAAAACTAATCAAATATCTTATTTGCATGATGAGATACATTTTCAGCGAATCTTACAACAGCTTTCTCAACCCCTTTTGCAAAAACGAGTCAACTCTTTAAAAGAGCACATTGAAAGCTCTATTTGTGCAGATACACCCAATGCTTTTTGGCATAAAAAACAACATCAGGTTGATCTCCCTTACGAAAAAAATTTCGTAGAAAATCTCATTCCCACCAAGGCTAGGCCTATCCAAATGAATTCGGACCTTGAAAAACATTGTCAACAAGAAATTAAAGAATTGCTCAAAAAGGGCCTTATTAGATCTAACCAATCCCCTTGGAGTTATTATGCTTTCTATGTCATTAATAATGCAGAAAAGGAACGTGGCGTTCCTCGTCTTGTTATAAACTACAAACCGTTGAATAAGGCTCTGAAATGGATTAGGTATTCTATCCCCAACCTAAAGGATCTACTCCAGAAACTTTCACAGTCCCTAATATTTTCTAAATTTGACATGAAATCTGGATTTTTCCAAATCCAAATCAAAGAAACATACCGCTATAAAACTGCTTTTACCTTTCCCTTTAGCCAATATGAATGGAACGTCATGTCGTTTTGTTTGAAAAATGCTCCCTCAGAATTTCAAAGAATTATGAATCAAATCTACTCTCCTTATTTTGATTTCATAATAGTTTATATTGATGATGTCTTGGTTTTTTCTTCGTCCATTGACCAATATTTCAAACATCTCAAATTATTTCTTGAAGTCACTCGACGTAACGGTTTGGCTGTCTCTAAACCAAAACTTTGTCTTTTTCAAACTAAGATACGTCTTTTGGGT